ATGCATTTTCAAAAAGAAAAATAACAGAATAAAATAGGGAAAAAATCAAGTTTGTATTTAGAAGCAGCCAGATCTCCTGAGATCTCATCTGACAGTGGAAAATAGGATTGAAAGGGAGCTAACTGTGGCAGGTCTTTGTGCTACTATTTAGGAGTACTAGAAGAAGGTTGTCTAAAAAACTCAGAAGAGGCTTTTTTTTGTTGTTTTTACCTGTATTGTAAATGGCTCGTTGGAGTAATTCCTGAGATTGAGGACTGTGAAACAGAGAGCATCTTTCTGAAATCTGCTGCCTTGGAAGAGCTCTGTTACTTACGTTAGCAGGGTAATAGTCAAGAGTTTTGAATAGATTCTCCACCTATCTAAAAATACCATTTAACCACTGTATACACAGTAACCACACTGTATACACAGTATCTAGTAACACTGTAACCACACTGTATACACAGTATCGGTTTAGTTTCCTGGTGCTTAAAGCCTTTAGCTGGTTGTGTTTAAGGACAGATCTGGTAATCACGGGTGCTCTCAACTCCCTGTTCATGCCTCTTTCGTTGCTGATGCTGTCTGTCAGTACTTGGTAACTGGGTGGTTTGCTGCTCAATTACTTTGCTACGTGATACAGAGTAGCAGCAGATGCAGAATTTTTGTGGTTGCATGTGACCATATACCCTTGTGTTACGGGGCTTGAGGGAAACGACCACAAGTGAGACCTGAAGCCTGGATTAGCGAGTGAATCTGTGTGGAAGATCCCACCGGTGCACTTTAAAAACTGCATTCAAAATGGCAACGATTTGTCTTCCTGGGTTGAGGGAGACAGGATGAAGCCTGCTAGAAAGAAGCATGTTTTAAAAGCGGTTCTGATAGTGTGTTGGACTGTGGTGAGGTAGATGTGTCGTATCTCTAATAGCAACCACCGAAGAAAAACTCTGCACTGTCATAATTTAGTTTTTAAGTCTGCTGTTTTTGGAGGGGATTGAGCTTTATTTAGTTATGTGTATTGCAAAACTAAGCAGGTGGGTGCGGGCCAGTTTCCTGTGTGGCTGCCGTGTGCTCCTGTCCCTGGTTTGTCCTGGGGGCTCTGGCCCTCCCTCCCCTGCCTCCTCCGCGCGGCCGCAGCGCCCGCCTGCGCTGGCACCGTTAAGCAACCCCTGCTCGTGGGTTGTTGCACAAACCCTCTGTGGAACAGTATGGTAAAATCCTTCTCATCTTGAAAAAGTCTTTGCATTGTGATGTTGCTGAAAGGGATTGGCAGAGAGTCATCCCTCTGAGCCCTGCTCAGTAAATAGCTTGTCACCTGCACTGCCTGGAAAGTCTGCAGCCACAATTATGCAATTTGGATATAAAATGATACTTTTTTTTCCCTGTGAACACTGTTGGGTGTAAACACCACCTGTTAACAGTACTGACTTTCACTAGGATGACACATGATTGTTTCATTCTCTGAGGCATCATTAGAGCTGTGTTCAAAGTACTTCTTTTTCCCATCTTGCTGATGCTTTCATTTTTGTCATTTTTCCCTGATTTGTTTTGTAATGAAAGGGACTATCGCTAATTTTTTTCAAGAAAAAATGCAAGAACGGACCCTCCTAGAAAAGACTATCATTCACTGATCATGGCATTTATTTGATATAGAAGACATCGTTTCAAGTCTCTGATTCTTCATTTTCATGTATAGTATTAAATACTGTCTTCTGGTATAGCCAGTCATTGAAGTTCCCCAAATGCCTTTTTCAAAATTTCAATTTCAGAGCATCTTACATATCTCATGCTTATTAAATTATGGACTTCATGCAGAGAATCTCTTTTCTGCGTGTTTTTTTCACATAGGCAAAGGTAGTATCACCAGAATTTTGGGTGGAAAAGGAATTATTCCCATTTTAAATCCATGTGTACTGTTTGAGGGGAATGAGTGGTATAATGCTTGGGACTCACTCCAATATAATTTTCTCACTGGACTGTTAGTGCCCCTTCTCTCTGCTTTCTAAGCACTGCTATCCCTTGAGAACTAAAACAGTTTAGTGAAATACGGATGTGCAGCTCTGTCTGCAGAGGTAGTTGGGGAAAGTAGAAACTACTGGACCAATGGAACTGGTTTCTTAGTCTTAAATGCTCTGTGTTCTTCCCAAACTCTTCTAAGTGGGTTCTTTGTAATATCCTTTCTTTCCCCTGCTGTCTTTAGATATATTTTGTTCTTTATCTTCCCCTAGCACAACATACAATTCCCATTCACCACAGCTTGTGTTCACTTTGCTTGCTTCTGGTGCAACCCATTTTAAATGCAGGTATTTGCAGTACTGTACATAGAAATTTTGATGCACTCATATTTGAAATTTTCCTTAAGCAGTCAGGGAAAGCCTTCCATCCATTCCACAAGATTTGAATACAGAGAAAAAAAAAAAGTACTTACCACATGGAATGAGAAATGAGTTTTCACGCAAACAATGTTGTAACTGACTCTGTAAACTAGTGCACAATGCAGTTTGCCTTCAATGACCTCAGAGAGAGGATCTTGGAGAAAGTACATTACCAAGTGAAAAATGCTAAAATGATCCTGGTTTGAGTTTAGCAGGTGTTATTTAGCATGTAGTTTTTCAGTAGTTGCAGATTGGCTTCACCTGTGAGTCTGTTTTTCCTAGTATTTGATCATAAGATCTTTAAATACTTCCATTCATTCTGTTCTGTTGTATTTTTGGTATAGAGTCTAGTCAAATGCAGTTATTTTGGTGAAAACCTGAATGCAAAAGAGATGATTCCATTCCCTTATTTACTTTCCAGTGAAGGTGCCGCTTTAGTTAATGCTATTTATAGAGCCTTTCCTCACTTCAGTATGTGCCCAAGTCTACCCATATATAGTGCAAGTGCTTCAGAAGGCACCAAAGTGATTCCTCATATGGGAAGGTAGCTCAGTGTGCTTAAGTGTCTCATTGAGATGACACATGCAGACAATATCTTAGTTCCATTTTGTTTTTCCTTTTTAAAGCCGTGTTTATTAAACTCTTGCTCAAACATTTGACTTCTATCAGAATATTTCTCAAGGTTTCCCTGACTGCTCCTTCAGGTGGGTTGGCTGGGTGATGACTGTGTGCAGCTTCACACTGCTGGAGACAAGCAGCAGTTACGGACGTTGTAGAGCCAGGATCAAAATAGCTATGTGTGATAGCCCATACGTTGTGCAAGTACAAACCCATCCCCGTCATTATCTTCCGAATGAGCTCTGTAGTCGTGGTAGTGTGGAGTTTGGTCGGGTACCAGGGATGCTGTGTTATACAAGGAATGTTTTCCAAGTCAGGAGGACTCTGTGTTTCAATTCTCCTCCAGCCCTTTGGTATTATACAGTCAAGAAATCAAAGATATGAAAATGTCTCTAATAAAGTGTCTTGTGCTTGAATGATACTGTGTCTGTTACAGGACTCTCAGGTTGTTTTCATGGCCGCCAACCTTGTAGGCATCTTCTGCATTTGTTGCTCATAAAATATAACCTTTCTAAACAACATTACATTGAGGACGAAAATGCCTTGAGAGCTTTTTTGCATTATTACCAGATATGAAAAATACTTCCCTAAACTAAAAGGCTGATGTTCGGCCTGGTCCCTGACCCAGCTGTTGGGGTTGGAGGAGAGCTCTCCGCCCCGCATAACTGCCTGCCCCAGCAGCTCGGAGGAGCCGCGTTTTTCTCCCTCAGTTCTGGCACGAGCAGTTCGCCGGGCCTGGACCCTCCAGCAGCTGGTGCTGCAGCCGATGGCCCTGCAGGCTCTGCCTCAGTGGGGCCATCCATTCAGTGGGGCGCGCGGCTCGTGCCCCAGCGCCGCTCACCCGGGAACGCAGGGGCTCTCCCTCCGCGTTGTCCTGTAGAGGGGCAAGTGGCACTATATCCTTCAGGAAGGGAGACCTAAAGAGCATCTAAAATAATGCCTATGTTTTCTTCTTACTGTACTCATTTGTACTGAATCTGAGTATTTATAGCTTGTATTTTTTTTTCCCAAATCTGCTTTCTAATCCCAGAATCTAAACAGGTGAGGTGCGTTTTTCAGTGAAGCATTCCTCTGTTAACCCCAAACCATTTTAAAAGACAACTTTTAGAGCAAGGCTGAGTAGAAATGTTGCAAAGGAGCCAGGCTACTTCTGCTTCTGACATTATTCCTAAAGTTGCCAATGTTAGTGAAGGTGCCAGCACCGAGACGAGCATATTGTTTGTATGATGTGCAAGAGCTTTGGGAGATGCAGAGCACTTGTTGCTATCATTTATAATTAAAGCGTCCATCACTTTTCTCTGCAAAACTGCTTTAGCAAATAAATAATTAAAGGCTGATTTTGACACACTTAGGTGAATGGAAGAGTACTGTTGGAGAACAGTGCAAATGCAGTAGGAGGAATTTCCAAAGTTTCAGCAGAAATAATAGTATTAGAAGCACAGTCAAGACCAAACTGTAAGGGCTTTCTAGGTTATGTGCTTGAAAATCCAACTCCACAGGCATCTAGGATAATTCACTTAAAAGCGATACCTAACATTGCCCATACATCTCTAAACATGTTATCCTTTAAGCAAAGCAGAAACTAGTCTTAAAGTTAGTGGCTAAATAAGTGTTCTCTACTTACTTGAACAGCTGAAGATGAATGAGCTGCAAGTTCAATGGTTTTATAAAGCTATGTCTTACCTAATGAGTTTATTTTTTTGCCAAATTTATCTGTTTTTAGAAGATTTTTATTTATAGAATATTTTTGTTTAATTATTTATCTGAATTGATATTTTAGGAAAAGGTTATGTTTCTTTTGGTAATTACTAAAATAATCAAAAAGAGTCAAGGGGAATTTCCTGAAGTACAAATGGTGTTATGTAGTCCCATTTTATTACCATAATGATCTTGCTTTCATAATAGTTCAAATACTTGGAAATATTGAAGGACCTTGCAGGACTGCAGGGAGAATTTCAGTTGATTTGCCCTCTTAAAATTAACCTTTTACTATCGCATGCGTATGTGTGTCATTTATCCCCTTTTCCTCAGGTGCAAAGAGGGCTACCAAGGAGTCCGCTGTGACCAATTTCTGCCGAAAACCGACTCAATCTTGTCAGATCCAAGTATGTAAATTTTTTTTTCTATTTTTATCCCATGCTGGAGACTGTTCTTGCCTTGAGAGATGACCCTTTGCCTCTTATCAGGCACACTGTTATGGACCACTGCAGTAGCTTGTCAAAAATAGTATTTCTCTTGTTGATCCATCTGTTTTTGCAGATAAAAGAACACACTCTGGTGTCCGTTTTTGTATAATGTGATGGCAGTAAAGTATGCCATTATAGGAATTTATTTTCCTTTAATTTGGAACAATATGGGTGCGTAATTACAGTCCAGATTTTCATATTTCTCTTTTTTTGACTCAGGTACAACTAAAACCTCAGAATCCAAAAGACAACTCATAAGTTGCAAAATGATTCCTTCAAAGAAAACAAATTAATTTTCCAATTTGCATAGATGATAAATCTCTAGGGAAATGTGATGTCTTTTTTTATGTTTTTCTTTTATTTCTTCGGTTTATACAAAAATAAATTTTCTTAACTTTTACCTGTGAAGCTGCCCCTTATTCATGGAGTAAAGATTTATTTCCAGTTAGTGGAGATAAAGTAACTCCCTATTTTGTGGCAGCCAGAATGCATCAGTGTTCTGCTCCTGCACTGTCCCACTTCTTAAATTCTATTGACTAATAAAAATATGTCAAAGCTATTAGACAAGTGAATTTCTTGGAAAGAAATTACTTACTGACATCAAATCATTCATCTTAAATTGTTAGATGAAGGGAAATACAACAAAGGGTCATGTCCAGTCTCCTATTCTTGTTCTTACACCTGGAAACTGTAATGCATTTGAGTCTGCTGGGTTTGGATGCTTTCTCAAAATTAGTTTTGTTTTATCATTTGTGGGTTTTTTTTGTTGTTGTTTGTTTGTTTTGTTTTAAAGGATAATGCTTGTTCTTCTCTTTCGTGCTTTCTGTCTGTTTTCCTGTGCTCCCCTGTGAAATATTATTTTGAGAGACTGCTGCCAGGCACCTGTTGTTTCATAGTACTGTGTGCTGAATAGCTCCTGTTCAAAGTGGCTTTATATTTAGTTTACCGTTTCTTTTTGCTTGACCCTTAACTGTAAACTGTAGAGCCTATAATGAAAATAGGCAGTTTCTGGCTCTGCCAAGTTGCGTGTGCATGTGGACATGAGCAGTATCGTGTGTATGTTGAGGAGAAATGTACTTTGCATCCTGAATACAGAGGAGAGGAAATCAGTTAGCTGTGTCTCGGACAGGGTGGTACTGCCAGGGCTCTGCTTGGGAGCTCTCGGAAAGGAGCAACTCTTGTATTAAGCTGCATCTAACTAGGCTAAGAGCCCAACAATGTTTATGTGCAACTGTTTTGTTGTTTACTGCCTTGTTTTGATTGCACCAACTTGTTTCTGTTAACATGGGAGAAGTTTGCACTGGTTGTATCACTTCCATACTATTGATCAGCCACCTGATCCTCCTCGATAAGCTGTGTTTCTGCTGAAATTTCTTTCTGATCATGCAGTTATTTTTTTCAGTGTGGGTTGCATTCATAAACGCATGATTCAGAGTATGTAAGGAGAGGGAGATCCTTGCCTGATACTGGTTTGAGATAGACTTGGTAGGCATGGGTCCAGAACCTAGAAGCTTCCCTTCCAAAGCACATAAGGAAGGGTAATGTAAGTATTTTCCCAGTCAGTTTTGAAAACTTAACTTGTATATAATCTTCATCTGCCTCCAAATAGAAAAAGGCTATTAGGCTTGTGTGTGTAGACACGCTGTGATGTACGTCCTTGTGTGTGCATGCACGTGCTCTTGCTCCAAGCCTGACTAGTGTTAAAAGCAGGTATTGCAGACTTGCTGTCATGGACAGTGGACACTGAAACATCACCATTTTCCTCAGGAATTAAATTTTTGGGCTTTTAGAAAAGAGTGACCACCACGTTAATTTTAGAAATCAAGAGCAGTAATATTTGTTATCTGCACAACCAGAAGGATTTAGAAGATACTTGACACTATATTCAAGTGCAACAGCAGCATCTCTATAGGTTCTGGTGATGCTTTGCAAAGATACAGTTCTGTGGTTGCATTGCTGTGTTTGTGTTAGGAGGAAGGATGCTAAGAGTGAATTTGAAGGCAGTTTCAGAAATAAGCAATTTTTCAAACAGAAGATTCAGCTTGCAGAATAAATTAAACACCCTCGTGGATGCTGTTGTGTCCGGCCTGCACGCGGGGTCAGTTAGGCTGAGAAGCAAGCCCAGCTCAGTGCGTGTTGTGGGCTTGCTTAGGGCTGGCGCTGCAGCGCGCTCAGCAGTGCTGCCCTGGCCGTTGGAGTGCCCTGAGCAGACCTGCTTGGCCCGCGAGTCTGGAAAGGTGAGTCGTGTTTGGGCTGCACATAATCCATTTGACTCTGGCCATTCTGTGGAGTTCTGAAATAGTAAAAAAAAAAAAAAAAAAAAAAAAGCAGTTGAGGATGTCATGTAGGTATTTTAATGAGTTATGTTGAGTTCAGCCTTCAGCATTTTTATGCTTAGTGCTGAAAGGTAATTTCCTTGGGATCCCTTTCAGGGATTTGCTATGCAAAAATTGTCATTTGAGTTGTATAATGTGTAGCTTGCATTTTAAGTTTGACATATTATCAAGTCAAAACAAAAAATTTGTGGTAGAACCAAAACAAGATACTGCCATTTTTAATTAAATGTTTGTTAGTGAGTCCTAGTAAACCCCAGTGTGCTTCAAAACAGTATCAAAATACTTTTAGTATCTGCATAAGAGGAAATAGGAAATTCTTTTTTTATTATTATTTTAGTTGGCATTAATACCTAGGTATTCATGTTCCTACTGCATAAAATGTTAAGGTAAGATTCTGACATTGTTTCATACTAAATAGCCCTTTACATTTAAGTTGTCCTGTTTAACTTCAACAGCTTAAGTGAAAAGGGGTCCCAAAAGGGCTCTTTAGAATGGGACTCCACCAAATATGCGGAATGGTATCCAGTCGTTTTCAAAATAAGTGCCTCTTTTTCTGAATATAGAAAGATAGGATAGAAAGCATCTAGGTTTTTAAGTCAGGTTTCTGTTATTACATATAATTCCTTCTGTGAGCTGAGCATCTTCCGGTTTTATCTACTTAAGATCAGTGTGAACTAGTGTGAAATGAATTTTGCAGCCTTCCTGCTCTGAGGTTTTCAGCACTTCAGATTTCAGCCAAAACGTATTCACAGCCAAAGTACTATAATCTGTTATGAAAACATTGTTTCTGTACAAGAATGGCCCCGCTGGACATTAAATCTTTATCATTTACTAGAACAGGATTATGGCTTCATTCATTTGCTGGAAATCCATCCAATCAAGGAGAAATATGTGCTTATGCTAGGAAGTGTCATACGATATCTGAGAGGTATATGGAGAGTTGAAATGGCACCTTATAAAATCAATGTGCAAAGCTAGTCAAATACATATATTCATGGAGCTTTACAGACCTTATTCTTAAAAGCAATTTATGGTCATCCAGGGTAACTTCCTACTGATCACCAGGAAGTCCCACAGTAACCTGCAATATCTCGTTAAACGGGAACATTTTTTTGGAAAAGACTCCTAAACTTGATGTGACATTTTTGAGTGTTAGCAAATTTGTCAGTTATGTTCTGTCCTAAAATGTGTACTTTTTTCTTTTTACCTCAGTTTCCACTGTGGTGGAAACGTTGTGTTTTTGATCTGTCAGATAGCCTTTTTAAATGTCAGAAGTCTTGTTCCTAGGGATTTACTTGTGGTTTGTGCTTGTGTCGTTTGTAACCTGTGCCGGCATGGCACGGCAGAGCAGCTACAAGTCATGTTGGGTTTTGAGTCCCATCAAAGACAAACCTGCAGTGTTATGTCTGGAATTTGCAGTTACTCATTCTTAGATTAAGTCTTGATGTAGCAACAGAACTGAGACTCTCTCTCAGCAGATTGGGACTGTAAATGATTAAAACATCTACAACTCATTTCAGAATGATAGAGTATTTTGCCAGGAACATTTAGGCTCATTTAGAAAGCCTCAACGCTGGGAAGTGCAGCAAGAACAAGCTCCGGAGCAACAACTATAGTGCAGCGCTGCGCCGTGAGGAAGAGAAGCGGGAATGTGTCTGCCGTCACAGCGTACCAAAAAGTTAAAGCCCAAGGGAGAGTGGCTGAAATCACAAGTTTGCCGCTAATGCAGTGGGCTCAAGCTCAACATCGCTTTCAGATTTAATAACGTATCTGTTTCCTAGGACCTTAAAATGCATAGGAAACAGCTTGAATTAATATATTAGTATTTCTGTAGGTCAGCTAGTAGTGACTTTTGCAAACTGTGCATTATAGACGTTATTTGGTGATTTTCTATCAGCCCTGAAAGGAGGTTAAAAAAATTTACAAGAATATTGGTGGTTTTCGTGTTTCTAGCATATAGCAGGAAAAGCACCGTAAGCTGGTATAAAAGTGTTTTCCAAACTGCCTTTAAATTTAATTGCTTTCATTACTTCAGGGTGCAATGCTAGGGCTTTAGAGTACAGTATTAGAGCTTTTATTCTATTTTCATCAAATTTCCAATCCTCAAAAAAACCACAATTGGAATAGATCCCCCCTGCCCAGGGCATACTTTCTAGGCAGATTGAAGGGGTTTACAAGTGCTTTTCATTTTTATATTTCAGATAAGAATGATTTCAGCCTTTAAAAAGCTTATATCTTTGTTTATTTAGTTTTAACTAAAATAATATTAAAATAAGAAGTCACACAGGTTTCTTTGCAACAGTAGAAAGCTTCAGCCTGAATTTGTCCAAAATTCTTTTAGTAGTTTTAGGGCAACATCAGTTCTTTACCTTTTCTGCCCTTTATCTCCTTTCCTGGGAGAAAAGAAAATATTGGCACCTGGCAACGCAACATTGTTTTCAAAACTTGTCAAAAAAGTTTTGACCTCAGTATTAATGCTAAGTAAGAGAGAAAATTGAGGTATCAATGCAAGTCAGCAGGTAATCAGTGTATCGTCCTTTAAGCTCCAGATGATAGAAACCAAGAAGGGAAGTACAGCCATGC